AACAACACAGAAAGGAAACCTGTCCATTGAGGCTGGTCTACCAACTAAACCAGCATTAACCAGCCTAAACATAGCTCAGCTGTTCTTTTCAGCAGTTGTGATCTTTAGAATGCATTTTGACATTTCTGATCTTTGTCTGAGAACAGCGACCTTTTATCCGAGCACAACACAAGGAATTTATCCTTTTACACTGTGATCCAAACAATTTATTATGAGAATGTCTTTGAGAAAAGTCATTTAAAAACTGCAGTTTGAAAGAGTGCTCACCGTTCCCCAGTTTTTGAGATTTTTCTATATTATTGCTTTATTTACTGTTGAGGCAAGTGTTTCTCTAGAACCCCCTGCAGCACAGGACTGCATGGCATGTGCAAGAACAGAAAAAGAAAAAGATAGACAAATTTTGTGCAGTTGTCTAAAAGAAATGCAAGTTGATTTGTGACTGCTGAGAGATTAAGATGCAGACAGAAACGTGTTTTTGTGTGCGGCGGCTGGCCTCGGTAAACCTGCGCCCTGCCACTGAGCCGTGGGGATCGATAGTCCTCGCTGCACGCTACCTAATTACTATCAGTATGTCACTCTCTCCCTCCCTTTCTCTTCACCGCCACTGGGCACACGACCGCTGCCGCCTTATCACACTTATCTGAAACTGCCTATGTATTCATTATCCCTCACCTAGAGGCCTGCACACCACACAGGGCATATGGAATCTGTACTTCCACATTTGTCTGCCCCAGAGATGCAGGAAACGAGAGAGGCAATGTTAGATGGCGATTGCATCTAATTTTGAGTTTTTAGCAAGTGTAAAATAGGGGGGAAGGAGTTCATCCAAGTTCCTATATGGCTTAAGCCTTTTATGTACTATAGCATTCATTCATTAATTCTCAAGTGAGAAATAGGCAGAATTATTAGTTTTGCATATGCTTAAACACACACATATTGGTCATAAAAAAAATGCTTTTTTAATATGTTGGTCTCTAGTTACCAAGCAGTAGAGGTTGTCTTGTTGGTGCAGTGGAAAGGTATTATTACTGAGATGCAATACTGCTCCCTCCCTTTGTGTTTGGCATGATTCAAGGAGGACATGTTCCTGGAACAAGCGTTCATATGAATGAGGGTAGCTCATATATTTTAAGGGTAGCTAAGGGTTAGGGAAGGTGTTTGGCCTATAATTGTTTGATAAGAATGTTGTTCCAGGACCAACAAAAATCTTGATCCAGGAACAATTTCTACTTGGCTAAATCATGCTGTTTCTATGAATGTGCACTGTCGTGAATAATGCAGCAATGTTTAATTCTTTAGCAATGGTAGAGGAGATATCCATTTTATGCTTGTGTCCTCTGTTCATAATGGGTCTCGTAATTCCTAGAAAGAGTGCTTATTTAACCAAGCAGTGAGGTGGAGAGGCCTTGGATTATGGTCTGATGTGGAAACGGTAGCACAAAACTGTGATTATCTTCATGTTAGCGGCTGCTGAGGGATGCTTGGCTGACCCAGTGGCTGTAATGTGTTCAACGGCAGCTAAGCGTTTGCTTCATCTCTTTGCGCTATTACTGAAATCAATAGCCATCTTCCTCTTTGCTCCCTGTTTGTCTGCACTGTTGTGCCATTTTATCAGAGGCTTTGTCAGCAAGACTCTCAGAGGCAAAAAGGCTTCAGCCCTTGCTGCTGAAGAGCTGGGAGGACCCGCGGTCTTGAAAAGAAATACAGCCGTCGATCGATGGCTCTGTAATAGCATGTCTGCGGCATCAGCCGGGAGGAGCCACACTGGGTGCCAATGCATTCAGCACTGCCTGTCCTTGAGCGTTAGACCCCGTGTGAGCCGGCGTAGGTCCACCACAAACTGAACCAATCACCTGTGCTGATATTAACCCTGCGTTCCCTGACCTGCAATACTTCTTTAGACCCTACAAATGCTGCCCAAAAAGTATAATGGCCTTTTATCGATTTACCTCCTCCTCATTTCTCTCTCTTTCTCAAGATAGTGCGAAGCCATTTAAGAGTAAGTGTGTGTTGTAGAAGCACTGCCCTCCCATTGAGACGGTCTCTAGGAGAGCGTACGCCAGCCCAGCCTGTTCTTGAAACCCAGCATCCACGCATAGCTAACACTAATCAGTCAGCGGTCCAGGGAGCAATGTTTACCGACAAGCCAGGCAGCAGCGGATGACAAGACTGCATGAATAACACATTGTGCTTGGATTCATCGCCCTCCCTCTGGAACAGCAGCTCATAGGAGCTCCAGAGATGGGGTTGGGGGAAGCAGAGGGATGGTGTGTTTCAACAACTGGAGCATCATGATTGGGGGGAGGACTGGGAGTGTAGGTGGATGTGAACTAGTGGTATATTAGTTCTGCTGGTTCTCATCCCACAAACATCAGTCCTGCTGTCAGAGTAAATCTTCCTTAATTTTCTTTCTCCCTTAATGTCAAAAGCGTGAGAAAAAAAAAAATATTATATATATATATTCACAGTATATATAAAATATTACACACAACAAAAATCGAATAATAAATAAATGTGTGTATGTACATAATTAAAATAATGCATTCATATTTAGTATAAAGTTACACTTAATATCACAAAATATTGGAAATTAAAATATTTTACTTTTTAAAATTAATTCAAGAAGTAGAGTGCTGTTAAAAAGTGTTTTTATTCGTTTTTGTCAGGTCTTAACACATCACATTTTCTTCACAAGCCTGAGAGAATTTAATACAGACTTATGGGACTTTCATGTGACTGAACTGGATTAAGATTTGCTTCTTACTGTATGCATTTATAAATTTGGAGAGTCTGGTCTATATTACTTTTTGGAATATTGGAAGGGTAGAGTACTGTAATCCTTGTGTACCTGTGCAAACATTCAAAAACACATCATTTTCATGGTGGATAAAAAGTTACTTTTCTTTTTTTTTAACAAAGCGTTAGAATCTTTGGGTATAAGTTTCAAATATGAATTATTATTTTTTTTTTGCTTTTGCCATGTGAGTCAGACGGTGGAGGCAGGTATGTATTTCTCAAGGGTCAATGGATTTGACCGGTGTGGTTTAAAATTGTCCTCCCTCGCTGAACTGAACTCACCTTAGCTTTGTTTTTTTACAGAAAAGCCACCCATCCAAGTCTGTGGCATCACAATGAGAGGCTTTCCACCACTTTGCCTGTTTTACTCTGGAATTCTGTTTTTAATTCACTCCGTAATCTTCAGGCTTGACTGAAAATTACATTGTTCGGTTTTAACAGCCGGTGAATGGACACATTGAAAGACATTTGAAAGCACCTTGTCTGCCAAACACTGTCGCTGAGTTCTTTGAATTCCTATGTGAGTGAAAGGGGGAGAGCAAATTGTAAACACTTCACCCATCCCATCCCGTTGAATATTTATCAGAGTCATTTTCCTGGTCTTGATAAATTAATGTTTTGACAGCAAATCAAACACAGGTGATAACTCCCTGTCAAAATGTCTGAGCGTAGGGTTTGAATACCAAGCTTGTGCTGCTCAGACTACATTCCTGTTGCACATTTACATAATTTTGAAATCAAGGGAAATGGCGTATTCAAATTCTACCTCAGAAGTAGACAGCACAGCCTGTGTTAGATAGAAAATAATGATCAGCTTAAACGCATAAAGAGAAAGAAAGGAAGTGGCTCGTTTATCCTCACAATTGTGGTGCATTAAAGTGAAAATGATTGAAATAAGAATCAGCTGCCAAGTGAAGCCTGAAGTGGGATCAGCCTGGAGAAGAAAAAAAAAGTAACAGAAGACCTCAGTCTTATTAACAAGCTTGAAATTTCATTATCCACAGTTCAGGATTAAATAATGTTATCTGTTTTCTCTAAAGGAAAATGGAGAGAGCTGTGACAAATAGAAGAAAAGACCCTAAGATGAAGAACACAACCTTGGCAGAGGGCTTCTTTATTTTGGTTTATCCATCTCAAAGTGCCACATGGTTTATGATAAGGGCAGTTGTGAGCCGTCTCCTCACCCGTAGCCCCAGCCAGCAGGAAAAACACAAGTCAGACTTAATTGATCTAATTACTCATCCTTTGGTTTGTTTAAACTGTAGATTGAACACATGGATGTGCTTTAGAAAAGATTATAATCAGAGAATGGATTTGCAGAAAATGTGAATTAATTTCTCCATAATTACAGGATATTTCTGTGAAATTAAGATGTGTTTTCCATCTGACGTTGTTATGTATATTTCAGGAACTTCCCACAGTGGTATTGATGTTTAAGTATCATTTGAATCTTTACCACTGTGGGAAGTTCCTTGAATCTTTACTACTGGTGCTTCCTCAGGCAATCATCACTATTTCTATTTCCAAGACGTAAGGTTAAGGATCTGGGTTAGTACTATTATGTTAAATGGTTAATTATTATTAATCATTTAGCTTTTTAAATGCATTTTTTTTGTATATAAATATAACATGTAGTAAATATAAATGTTTTTTGTTTTTTTTATTAATCAGAAATACTATTTTTGCCTGTTTGATCAAAAGGAGACTAAACAAATCCTGCAGACCACCCTGAACATTCCTAGCAACCCCAAAGAACATGTTAAAACTACTCAGAACATTTTTGCAACCACATAGCAACAGCCTGGCAATCACCCACAGCTCCCTGTCACAGCAGAGAGTTTTTGCATGGGCAAGCACTCATATTTTCTTCTGAATATGTGTGAAAATATTTGTTCTTTCTTTTTGAAGTGGCTTTATAGTGAAATGTATTCCTGGGTGTGTTTTTCATGTGAATATTATCTAAGAGTGGATCAGTTTCATAAAAACAGGCTGTGTTGTTTGGCTCTAAACAGACCTCTCCATCTCACTCCGAGACTCTCCAGAGCTGATGACTCTAATTGAATGATATGACTCACTGGGTTAATAGCGCGACTCAATGTTGGTGCTGAAGAGCTGGAGCTGACAGAATGACGAATTATCGTGAATAATTACTGGTGAATTTTCCTGAGTTAACGCAGTCTGATTGATCTGCCCTCTGTGTGCAGGAGACAGAGATCCTTAACACCGCTGTGCTCACTGGGAAGACAGTTGCCATGCCAGTGAAGGTGGTCACCGTTGGAACCGAAGGTACTGTGACCGATGTGACCGAGTCGGTGGAATGTCGCTCGACGGATGAGGACGTGGTTAAGGTGGGAAGGGACATGCACAGGTCACTTACATGAAAAAAAACACTTGTGGATGTGTGTTTCTTCAGCTACTTTCACCAGTTCACACTTACAAATAATCAGATTGTGTAAAAGTATGTGTATTTGACGCAGCAGCTAGACTCCTCACTGGGACACGCAAGTATGAATCGATCACCCCTATCTTATCCAAACTCCATTGGCTACCTGTCAAATCTAGAATTGATTTTAAAATGTTACTTTTTGTGTATAAAGCTCTTAACAATTTGGCCCCTCAGTATCTGACCGATCTGCTCTGTCTGTACACTCCTTCTCGTACCTTGAGATCCAGTGACCACTGCCTTCTTATCGTGCCTAGATCCAGACTCAAAGAACGAGGCGACCGTGCTTTTGCGACTGCAGGCCCAAAACTTTGGAACAGTCTACCTTTCTATATCAGACTGGCTCCCTCAGTTTCCATATTCAAATCTTCTTTAAAGACTTTTTTATTTTCTCTTGCTTTTAATTCTCCCTGATTCTGTACTGTCCTGTACTGCTCTGCATCATATTGTATGCTTTGTACAGCACTTTGGCCAACCTAGGTTGTTTTTAAATGTGCTTTATAAATAAATATTGTATTGTATTGTATTGTATTGTATTTGGCGTGCTGTCGGAGGGACGGGCTCCGAGCTCAGAATCTGGCCCGAACCCAGAGTACTCCCCCCATATCTCTGGTTAGGATAGTAACCAGGCGAGGAACATAGGTGAGGCGGCTATGTATATATACATAGGCCTCTTCTCGTTCTGATTGTTTAGGCAATTTGAACGTGTTCCTCCTGAACTTTGTTAATAAAACATCATGTATGAGGCATTTATCATATAAATGCCTCATTCATTCATTCATTCATTCATGAGCACTTTTAACCTTGTGGATTTAAAAAAAAAAACTCTTCAGACTATCCTTAGTTCATTTAATTTGTCCTTTTGTTAAACGTTTTTATACACCACATCACAAGGTCTCACTAATTTCTAATTTCTAAAACCATTTAGAAATGAATCATCTTAAAAAAAAAAAAAAAAACTATATACACACAGTAGTGCTCAAAAGTGATGTCCAGCATAGGAAAATTGACATCTTCACCCTTTATTTAAATATTAAAAATGTGTTAAAAATTTTGTAATCATATTACGTAGTTGTGCTTTTATTTATATAATGTGTGTGTGTGACGTATATATATATATATATATATATATATATAAATGAGTAATTAGTGAGACCTTGGGATGTGGTGTGATTTACTGTACAGCACTTTTGAATTTTAGATGGTTTTCATCAAAAGACACAAGCTGAAAGAACCTACAGACACACGAGTATAATTTTGTAGCCAGGATAACAAAAGAACTGTTGGAGGGCACACATAGTGTATTAAAACAGCTATATTAGATTTGATTTAAAGCACTATACATTCCACCGCTCTAAAGGAATGTCAATTGTCAGTTGTTAAGCCAGAGGCGGAAAATCAAAGGGATGTTAAATTCAAGCTTTTCTGAACAAGCTTGTGCCTTCCACTTTCTGCCATTTGGGAACAAATATGAGAGCATTTTATGAGGGAGAAAATGACAATGTGTGCGGATTTACTCCCTCCGGGTTTAATTATCTGATTAGCACCCCACACTGAAACACTGACCTTCCCCACCATAGCTGACACACACACATACACACACGGGCACTGATGCCCTGGATTCAGAGCATCTGAAGACACTTTGCCATTGTATATTTTACATGTTTTGTCACTGATATGAACACCGTGAATTGTAGTGTCAAGTCACATTTATTTATATAGGCCTAGTGCTTTAGACAGTACAGATTGTTTCAAAGCAACTTTACAATGATAATAGGAAAATTATTCAATGATACAAACAGTTCATACAGTGCATGTGCATCATAGTGAGTTGCTTAGCAATCATAAACTAAAAAACCTTGTCATTGCTCAATGGAGATGGCGAATGGCATCCATATGTGTGCCCGTGCTGGCAAAATGAGTAAAAAATTAGTTATTGTTAAAATTAACATTCTCTATTAAAAACAACTTCAAAATGATGTATGATTTGTTTTAATCAGACAAAAACGAACGAGCTACACCTGTTTGAAGTTGAGAGAAAAATCTAGTTACAATTTTCTGAAGGTTCCAAAACAAAACCACCTAGCAACCATACCTTAAAATCCCTGGTAATAACACCAAATCTGGCACACACCAAGCCAAAACCCATATCTATAGGAAAAATATATATCCACCTTTTTGTTTTCCATGATACTACAATTGTTTAATTAACATTAATTAAACAGACATCCTATATATTAAGGCCTACTCACAGCTGGACTGGGACAACAAATCGGCCCGGGCATTTTGGCCCAGACTGGCCCACTACATATAATCATAAGCACAACCGAACTTTGCACCCCCTTGAATATGTATACTAACTCCTATTAAAACCACTAGTGCCATAAGTGAATAGGAGTGAGTAAGAGTTAACAGATGAAATAACTAGTTGAACTATACTCCACAGTGATGAATCCTAAAACAATCTATATAAGCTGCATTGGGATAGCAATACCGGTTTTTCCCACCGGATTTTGGGATATCTGTGGTGTGTGCACCTCTGTCCCTCTAGGGGGGTTCGGGGGCATGCTCCCCCGTAAGAAAATTTTGTGCTTTTTAATGTTAAATTCATCAATCTGGTGCACTTTGAGAGTTCAAAATAAAGAGCTCCAACCCATATTCAGTGTGCAAATTGAACAAAGAAAAACTCAAAACTCATTTAGTTGTGATATAGTGTCTGTCTACATTACACTACTACATAATAATAATGTATGTCTACATTACACTACTACATAATAATAGTTATAATATTAATCCCATGGCAGTAATAGCCATATATTGTAAAACAAATGCACTGAAAAATAAAAGCAACTTCATAATTAGTTTACTACTAATTTCTATACTTGAAAGAGATAAGCACATGATCTTTTATTTTGACGGAAACGGCATCGAGCTTTTATTTTGTCGAAAAACATGGTTTACAAACTCGTCTCATTATAATTCTAATAAAATGCGTAATCAACAAATATGCAGATGTGGAAATAATGAGAAACTGGGTAGTGGGTTCCTGCATAGCCCAAGTGTTCTGAAAGTAGCCTAGTTCTGCTTACCACAGTTCTCTGCACTCACTTATTTCTCTACTTATCCTCCTCACTATCCTCATCAGCCACTTGAAGGGCCTTTTTTTTTCACGCTATTTCTCTGCACATTCCTTGCGTTTCTTCTCCATCGCTTCTCCATATTTTGACAGATACACGACGACACTGCTCGCTCACTCAGAGCTCAAAGGGGGAGGTGTTTAAAGATGTGATTGGACCAGCCCAGTGTTAATCAAGAAAACAACCAATGGGCCGCTGATCTGCGCGTTTCATGTTCCGGTCTGTGAGAAACAAAACACAGGACCTATGCTGACTTTTTTGTCCAATGCATTACACCGGCACAAAGATCCCAGCGCCGCCAATTAAGCAAAACTAAACGCAATGGGCCGCCGATGTACGAGTTTTATGGGCTGTTCAGACAAAAAAAAAAAAAGAGTATGAGATGTATCAGCCCACAAAGCACGCCGGCCCACCGGGAAAATGCCCGGTATGCCCGATGGCCAGTCCAGCCCTGGGCCTACTGTACTATCTAGTATAATGTTATACATCAGATGTTTTCCCCCAAAAGTTAACCAAATGTTCACTTAAGACATAACATAAGGGATTGCGCGACGTCTGAGAGGCTTCAGTCGGCATGAGTGGTGGATGTGTCAGTCAGCGTTTTTTTTTTGTTGCTGAAAAAGATTTTGTTTACATCAGCATGAGTTTGAAAATCACATTTCATTGGTATAGACTCATGCCATCGAGAATTCGCTATGAAGATTCATAAAGTTGGAATGCTGCGCTTTAAAACGATGCCAAACTTGTGCTGAGTGGAAGGGTAACACTTTACTTGAAGGGGTGTACATAAGACTGACATGACACCTTCATAACCATGACATGACATATGTCATGAATATGAAGTAGGGTTTATGCATGTTTATGACAACTGTCATTAAGTGTCTTTCGCTCAATAATGACATTTTGAATACAAAATATGACATTGTTTAAGATGTCTTTGTTATGACACCTTGACATAAACCATAACATCATAACCTGTCAGTGTCTTTGTCATGACAACTTGACATTAAATTGAGTTAAACTGTCATGTGGTTGGTTTTGACATTGGCTGTCATAAGGCCATTATAACTGTGTCATAAATATTTTTCGTGACCTCAACTACAGTGGTACAAATTGAATTTGTCATTAAACAGTTATAATGGCTTCATGACAGCCAATGTCAAAACCAACCAACTGACAGTTTAATGTAATGTTAACCAATAAAGCTAAGTGGTTTCTTAAGTTTGATAATTAATCTGCTATGTCATGTTTATGACAGGTTGTGTTGTCTTAGTAATGTCAAGTTGTCATGACAAAGACACTGACAGGTTATGATGTATTGGTTTATGTCAAGGTGTCATAACAAAGACATCTCAAACAATGTCATATTTGCATTAAAAATGTCATAATTGAGCGAATGACACTTAATGACAGTTGTCACAAACATGCATAAAACTTCCTTCATATACATAACATGTGTCATGTCATGATTATGAAGGTGTCATGTTAGTCTTATGCACACCCCTTCAAGTAAAGTGTTACCCTTCCACTCAGCACAAGTTTTAAAGTTTTAAGTTTTACAAGTGTTACCAGTGGAAGCGCCAGTCGTCGAGAAGCGAGCATTTTTCATAGACAAAGGAAAGATACTCCTCTCAGAAAACGTACAAATAAAGATACTTTTATGTTTAAATACTATTTGGAGCATTAGGATCGCTAGACAAGGGCTTAATGAAGCCTCATTTTTGTGAAAACCTCTAATTTACATTTTTCACTTGTTTAGCCTGTAGCTCAGAATTAGCCCGTGCGCATTCCGACTCATTTTGCCAGCACGGGTCACATATTTGTATTAACTTTGTTGCATGTGCAGCGTGTTTGGGATCGTTATCATGTTGGAAAATATACATTTGATCTCCAAACAAATCCTCCATATTGGCTACATTGTGTTCAGCAGGATTCTCGACATAAGTATTGGTCCATTTTCAAAGTGCCAGCAATTTTGTAGATCCTTCTAACACCTGCTATCCCAATGCCATTAAGTTTCCCCTGCCGTGCTTAATGGCGCCACGCATGCATATTGGCATTAAAACACTCTAGTCGTCTCCTAGTAACATGCCTGACACCATTCAATCAGGTTGCTAAATTTTGACTTGTCGGACTCCAGATCAAGGATCCAATCTTCCATACTCCAGTCCTTATTTTCTTTGTCAAATGCAGGGTGTTTTTTTTTGCAGCAGCAGCAGATTAAACTATTAAATTGTATCTTTACTGGTACACAACCTTTCAATCCAGCCTCTTATAGCCGTTGGCTTACAGTTCAAGATGAAATTGGAGGCTGGAGGTCTCATCCAGGTCTTTAGAAGCTGTTTTGAGGTGGTCCCACATTCAGGTGATTTTTCATCCTTCAGTCAAAATACTCACTAGCATTCCAGCCACAGCACTTTACATTCTTCATGATAGTGGTCTTACTGTGCTTTGAAATAATTCTGTGGACATTCTGTAACCATTCACATTCTGCACAAGAGCAATATCTAAAAAACCGACTGACCAGATTTAGTCATTTTAAAAAATATATTCCTTGGTTGCACAGGAGAGCTCTTTCCATCTGGCCATTTTCATGAAAACCCACAAAATAACATCTAATAATATAGCTAATACCTGCCACATAGTCATTTATTAAAGTATAGACTGGGAATAATGAGTACAAGCTTGGTATGACCACTTGGACAAAAATTACTTCCGTTTCATTGCGTCATGACAAATGATACAATTGAAACGTGGAACGCATAAATTAGTATTACACTCGGACATCACTTTTGGCCACATTCAACATGATATCACCATTTACTCACCATCATGTTTTTCCAAACCTGTACAGTATGACTTTCTTTGTGGAACACAAAAGAAAATGTTTAGCTGAAGGTCCAAGTTTTTCTTCTCCATACAATTGATTACAGACCAGACCAACAATGCCAAATGTTAAACAAAATAGCCCAGAACTACATTTACCCAAGGTCTAAAAAGATTCTAGGTTAACAATTTCAAGTTTAAAAAAAACCTCTTGTCTGTGGCTATTTTACTGTGATCTTCTGCACAGATATATGGACAGACTGAGAGAGTAATTAGAGAGGAAAATACAGAGACAGAAGTGAGGATAGTTATGGAGATGTTGTAGAGCTGTAGCAGATTCTTTTAGATGTGTGTTCATGCAAATGTGTGTCAAGGGAAGTGCGTTTCACCCAGTGTTTGAAAACCTAGTTTAAAACTAAGGCTTGTTATTTTACAAGCTATTTATATTAAAGGTAGTTCAACTTCACTACATGCTCTAAGAGTCTAACTACGTGCAGTTAACACACTACACATTTATTTAAAATTTAGTTGAATCTCTTAGACTATGATTTGTCCTTTCAGATATGGGTTTGGCTCAACTACGCTCAGATTCAGAGGAAACAATGTATAGAAATTCTTATCAGCTCAATTAAGATTCAACCAAAAAAAAGCCATCGACTGTTGAAGTTAATGAATTTTGCCCTTGTAGAAAAGTACAGTCAAGCTATTCTTCTGAAAACATAACATAAATGGGCAAACTACATTGAAGAAATATGACTGTGACTATTGATGGAGTTAAATATATTCAGTAAAAATCTATATTTTAAATGTAAACCATTTAAAAATATTTACTCAAATGAATCAGTGTTGTTTTTGTACCTGTTCCTATTTTTTGCTATTTAATCCCAAACATTGTGTTCACTTTGCAGTGAACGTCTAGAGTTGCTCAAGATGCACTCTGCTAATTATTTCAGTTAGACATGGACGGGCAGAAAGGGACAGCGCTTGCGTCATGCAGCAAACTCCAGTCTCGCTGTGTGCCTGTCTGAATGGGTCATTAAATACCCAACTCAGTTCCCTGCGGGGATCTTGATGTCCTCTGTAAGTGTCCCTCTATTCAGCAGTCTTAATGTTCCTGATTAATGCCCTGCCATACCTGCTAGTTATGATGCTAACAGACGTTCATGGGAAGGGCTTGTTGCAGTGAAGTTAGATTGACCTCATGTACTCCACACACAGTCACCCTTGTACACCCAAAGCAATACCCTTCATGGGCCACCAGAGCATATCTAACGCTCTCTGGCTCTCAGACTATTGTGGGAGATTTACAATCTGTAAGTAAGGAAGTAAAGAATACAATTGTCGATGTAAAACTGCAAATTGTTCCATTATGTTCCATTTATATGGGCAGATCCAGACAGTTTAACAGATTTAAAGGGTGTTTAACAGATATAATTGCTGTGGGGAATTATAGTACTATTTAGGTTCACTGCAGTTGTTCATTATTATAAGCCTAGGCGTCATTTATTTTTAGTCACTTTTTACCATTGTGGATTTGGTCCCCACTGTTTTATGAAATAGCTCACAGCAGGGATACATTGACAGGGGTTGTCCATGATCCATGTGTGTATCTTTTTACATCCAAATTCCACCAGTGGCAGTTTAAGTTTACAAATTAAATATGTAAGTGCATTTGAGAACTTAAATTGGTCAGCAAGAAGAATTGGCCCCTCAAATCACGTTGTAACTCAGTGTGCTATTAAATTTATTTATTTTAATTTTAATATTTTATTTTACATTTCACTTTTGACTTGACATAAAAGATTATTCTCTACTACTACTGACCAAGTTAAATGCAAAGAATATTTATTTTTCAGTACAGTAAAAGATCATCTGTGCACAACCTAATTATTGTACACTATCGTTCAAAATGTCAAGGTTTATCTTTTATATGTGACTTGTAACATTTGTTTTGAAATAGTGTACCATTTAAAATAACTGGTTTCTATATTAAGATATTTTAATATAACTGTATAATGGTTACTGAAAACTAAAGTTAAATAAATGCACCACTGACTTAATGTCACAAAGTGAAAAGTAGTCTAAAACTTCATTAGGAAGTGGTATATTTCAGATTTTGTTTGTCTATTCAAAAATAAAAGTTGGAGTTTATATATTTATATATTTCCTGAGATACTCTGAGCAGTCACCAAATGAGGACTTGATGAAAGCTTGGCTACTGATTGCAGCTGCTAAATAGCAGTCTGGTACTGAGATGTAACAAGTATGCTCTAGAAAATGGCACAACATTAGGGAAATCTCACAAACAACTGACACTCTTGTCATCTTGGATTTTGAGCTGATGGGCTGCTGCTCAGAAACCAAGCCATGCCATTGGTCCACTTCCACATCTGTTGTTATTAAAGAAGCCCTCAGGTTGATTGTATGAGATATGATTTTCGCTGCCAGGTATCATAAGCATTGGCTAAGAGCAATAGATGTTCTGCAAATGAATTACTTTGCTGCTGTAGAAAGACTTTTTTCTGTCTTCTTCCATCTCTCCATCTGCTTAGCTCCTTTCAACCCCCAAAGCCTGAGAAATATAGACATCCAAACACTCTCATTATCAACGACAACGACTCCCCCACTGACTGTAGTCAGAAATAAATACTTGGACAGGCCAGTCAAAGCCTGTCCAATCTCTCATCTTCCTCATTAAAGCGCAGAATGAAAGCGAATAACACCGGCACAAAACACACAAAGGCTAGACTATTTTTCACATATTGCGCTGATTAGCACAAGAAGAGGCCTAATTTTTTTTTGCGCTTTCAAAATTTGAAATGGTCGCCAGGAAATTGGAGCGAAAAGTAGGCTGATACCTTGGCCAGAGCTGCAATTTTCTTTAATTTAGTGCTGCTTTGAATACAGTGTTGCTTGAATGCTTTGTTTGTCTGCTGTCTGATTTGTATCCCTCCTTCTTAGGTGTCCGAAAGGTGCGATTATGTGTATGTCAACGGCAAGGAGACGCGTGGGAGAGTGCGGATGATGGTGAACTTCACCTACAGTTACCTCAGCGCTCAGCTGGAGGTGAGCGTTTGGATGCCTCGACTCCCCCTGCAGATCGAGATGTCTGATCCAGAGCTCAGCCAAATCAGGGGCTGGAGAGTTCCTTTAGATGCTGCCAACCAGAGGTTAGCGACATTTATGGCCGCATTTACATTGCAGGTCCTGATGCCCAATTCCTATTTGTTGACGATATCCGATTTTTTTGACGACCAGTTTACATAATCTTTTAAAAGTGACCCATATCTGATATCTGCATTTACACTATACACTTAGCGACACAACCCTAGGTAGTGTGATTGCGGTTGGTGTCCACCTGAGATGACGTCATTCACCACAGTCGTTTTTTCAGTGGCGTACGACTCGCATTGAAGGGAATATCCAATCTGTCCGCCGCTTTACGTATCCCGAGGCGTTCTCAGGCCAATGTGGAGATATAATCTCTCCACCTAGTCCTCGGTCTTCCCCGAGGCCTCCTCCCAGCTGGACGTGCCTGAAACACCTCCCTAGGGAGGCACCCAGGGGGCATCCTTACCAGATGCCCGAACCACCTCAACTGGCTCATTTCAACGCAAAGAAGCAGCAGCTCTTTAGAACTCTCTCAGGTTCCAATTCATATTCAATTCATATCAGATTTTTTTCCTCGTATAAATTAAGCCTGAAACTGATCTGATAATATCTGAATCCAAGTGCTTTTTTCCTGCTAACACATTCGTGGGTCATATCCGATTTGTGCCACTTAGGAGGAAAAAAAATCGCAATTGGTTCACTTGAACAATGTAATGTAAATGCGCCCTTTGTTTCAAGGAATCACATTTTCCTTTTATATTTTGAGATAAGAGTCTATTGTACTATTGAAGCATAAACTGTATATTGTAATTTTCAAAACCCTCTCCAGAACTTTCTGATCAAACAGTTGAATTTATTTGAACACATGAATGTATGGCTGCCTACATTTACACATCAGTGACAGTCGATACTAATATTTCTAATACGAATACCATAATATAGCCTAAAGTTGACAGTAAAGTGTGGAAAGTCTGCCCTGCATTATTCCTTATTTTTTGTAGCTCCTTCAGCTCTGTAGCTTCTTCATTTCTATCCCGAAGTGTATTTTTAAATGCCTCTTTTAATTCAGAGATTATTAGATAACTTCTATAAATTATAATTGAGATGAAAAGAGCCTGAAAACTACATTCTGTCAAGTTTTATAATATTTAACTGAGCAGAAAATATCCTGCACAACCCACACATGTTATGCAATATGGTTCTGCTGGTAATTTGAAAACTTAACCATTTTTTACATTTTCTTTTAATAAATCTCTCAATATTGCGCACCACCAATAATGTTCTAGCTCACCTGCCCATTCTCTATCAACCCTCACCTCAGCTGTTTTCATGCTCTGTTGTTTCTTGGTAACTCCAGACGTGTAGCGGAGCTCCCTCTGGAACGCATGATGGAGGTGCGGGGAGGATGCGGACGCTGACTTTTTAATTACCGCTGGGTCGTCTTCAGGCACACCTGCCTCTGACGCACTAGCATCAGACAATATGCAGGTTAATGTTGCCGTACGCTGCAGATATCCACAAGATCATTTTTAATTACTCTTCCACCAGAAACAATCCTGCCCGATTGACTCATGCATGATAAGTGAGAAGAAGATGACGGAAGACAGATGGAATGAGCAGTAGAAAACTTGAGGCATTGATGAGTCTGAGGAATAAGAGTGGCTATAAGTTGTTTGATTGTCATCAGTCATGTGTGGTGGTCAGGAATCGAATCTGTGGATTGCACACTGATCGCTTTTCCATGTTCTCATAATGAAGATACAAATGTATTCTCTGACCAAACCTCCTCTTGAACCAGTCCATCAGGAATTTCATCATTCTGAGCTTTCTCTATAATAAAAATGGCTTTTTGAGTGAACTGAGAAAGTTTAGCACTCATAAATATTTTTTACTGGCCATGAAACTGTATTTTACATTATTTTTATTAAAAATATATATTTTTGTCCTTGTGACAGAATTTTTCTTGCATATTAGCAAAATCCTTTAAGGCAAGTTCACTCGGCGGGCATCTTCGTAACGCCTCTGGGCAGCTCTTTCCTATGCAAGAAAAATAGACATGCAATAGACATGGAAATCCAGCCCCTATCTACTTGAATGAGGACAGACTCACAGCATCATTTTCAACTTGGCATCGATGGTTCCATGAAGAACCTTTAACATTCATAGAACCTTTCCATTCAACAACATTTTCTTTATAGTGGAATAAGGTTCTTTAGAATTTTAAAAATGTTCTTTACAATTTAGAAAAAAGAAAATTGTTCTTTTAAGAACTGTTCACTTAAAGGTTCTTTGGAGAACTAAAAATGGTGGTTCTATTGCATCACTGCGAAAAACCACTTTATTTTTAAGAGTGAAGTTGCAGCCTCAGACGTCACAGCCACGGATCGTTGGCTGAACATCTGATCCATAAGGCACATAAAATGGGAAAAACTTCGGGAATTTTGAACTCGTCATCTGATTGGTTGAATTCTCCAGGATTTGCGGGAGACGTGTGTGTTGCATTCTTTAACGGTCCACCTTGAAACAAAGCCGTCTTGATGCCAAACCCCCTCATGGAAGAAGAACGCCGTCGTTTACAACAGTGACAATGTGCGCTTATAAGGGTCAACTAAACACTGGACTTTCAAAATTATGTGAAGTTTGCTGCACCATTGAAGAAGAAGAAGAAGAATGCAGGTTTAGAATGATATGAGGGAAAAAATTATGAAGAATTTTCTTTTATAGGTGAGCTGTCCCTTTAAGATAGTGGCCAGCTGGTGAGTTGTATTCATCAAAAAGCTCGTATTTACTCACATTCGTGTTGAACATTTGGCACCCTGGCTGTATCATATGTGCCCTTGGTTCGAGGTCATGTCTGTCTCAGGTAGCATTTTGATTACCTCTGTGAGAGCGGTAGACATGCGGTTTTGTTGTAAGACTGGAGCTCATTACTCCTGAGACCTCCTGTGACCTGACATTCCTCAGCTGAGTGCCGCCTGCCCTGTTTATACACCTGTGTTCTGTAAATGTCATACTGTTTCTGCCATTGGTCAGGCGTCATTGCGTAAATGTCTAAAGGAGCGTGGCCTCCCCACCGGTCAGAGCCACTGTGTTAACCTGCCACTGCTGTTGTTTTTTATTTTGGATGGTTTAGACTCATTAAAAATAATGGAACAGTCAGAGCTGCCCCGCCATTCACCTGGTCTGGACTTTTTGTGTGAGGAGAGGAAATGCATTAATGTAATGTGAAAAGGGTTCATGTTTACAGCCTTTTAAAGCAGCTCGCTCCTTTACAAGAGGTTGAGCATCACTGCTCTACACACAGACATGCACACACATATACACACACACACATTGGGTTTCCATGTTTTATAAGGACTTTCCATAGACATGCACCGAAATGAAAATTCTGGGCCGAAACCGAAAATTCAGAATGCACTTGGCTGAAAACCGAAAATAAAGAATTAATTAATAATCAATTAATTAATCAAACGTCTTTAATAATTAACACTCAAATAGTTAAAACTGATTTGAACAAACATTTAAATTGCACATCAAGCAGGATTTATATCAACTTTTTAATAACAGAATAACTTTCTACTCCAGTTTGTTTGGTGAAATAGAAACCTTTAAATGACAATAAAATGAAATAACTTGTTTTCATGACAGATTTAGGCCATTCAAACACATTAAATAATGAAGACCACTAAAAGGTTAAGTAAAAATATAATAAATGTGTAATACAGTGCATACATTTACCAAAATGCTCTTCTCTAGAGTTTTTTGAGTTTATGGACATTGAATAGCTTGTTTTGAGGTAAATGTAAGCTTAAGTAATTGTATAGCCTACAGGCTGTTTTATTGATTTATCCTTACCATTTAAAATCAAGAAAATAATATTGTCAGAGTTCTGGTATTACCATACTTATGGGGACATTTACCAGTACCACACACACAGAAGATTTTTAATGTATAGCATCTTTGTTTCTAACCATTTCATTTTTCACCGTTATTTATTTATTTTATTTTCCACCTGATTTAAATATATGTTGTATGTTTCTTTTTATCTATGAACATTTTGAACTTTTTATTTTTATGAATTTTAAATGAGTTTATTGTACTAGAATAGAATAGAATTGAATTGAGAATGGGATGTAACACTTAATATTGGTTGCTGTCTTTACTACAGGTCTGGAGAGGATGATGGGGATGAAGGAGCCAAGAAGGACCGGAGCTGTGGTCCACAGTACCAGAGCACCACCGTACGTGTCCTCACACACTTTGAGGCCGAGCCAGAGGAGTGGCAGGGCCAGTCAGACTTCCTCTTGGGGAGTGATTGGCAGGTGGACGTGACAGAGCTGGTGAGGGACTCATTAAGGGTGGGGGATGAACGAGTGGCCAAGCTGTCAGAGGAACAGGTCCTGATCGGTCTGAACACTGGCACCACCAAAGTTCAGGTGAGAGACAGGAAGAAAATATGTGTGATCTTATCTCTAAAAGAGTACCATCATATACCATAAAACGAAACCTACACTGTACAAAAGAAAAGATGTCTGTGAAAGTGGTTGTATGCAATACTACAATGATCCAATAATCTTTGGATTTTCAGCATTATTAAAATTTGATCCATGATTCACTTGTTATTGCGTATTATGTAATTTCCTCAACAGACTGTAACGTGTTCAAAATGCTGTTCTGTTACAAATAAGGATGCATTTAATGTTAATGTTTTACTTTATTCGTTTTATGTGATTCGATTGATTCGTTGTCAAGTTGTATATGGAAAGAGGCTCCACCCCTTGTGAGAGTGATGGGGAAATCTGGGGAGGAGGGGGGAGAAGAGCGCCTCGCTGGTTCAAGTGCGGTTCTCTTATAAATCGGGTGTGTATGGCGTGGGCTGTGGCCGACAACAGCCTCTAATAAACACCCTTTGTTATCAAAACCGTCTCGTCCTTGCCTGAGAACGTTACAACTGGTGTCAGAAGTGAAAATACTTGAAAACAGCTGGGGGTACAACCGCTGATTTGAGTCCGGATTAAGCGTGCATTGGCCAAGCAGCTGCTATCTTCCGATGGTGAGAATGGATAATCCAGTTCGTATTAAGATGGAGGAAGATGACGGCTATACTGGAGCTGAGTCGGCGAATATGTTTGGTGTGAACACCGCGCCGGTCTCCAGTCATTTAAAGGCAAATTCGGTGAAACAGGAGCCGTGTGAAGCCGCGGCTGTGGGCGAGAAAGTGAGCCGCCATTACCCGCCGCTGCCGAACGTCATGAGCCGCCATTACCAGCCGCGGCCGAACGCCATGACGTCAGACGCCGGCGCGTCGATCTCGCGTGATGTGAGGGGACAAAAGGTAAACAATAATGGCGGCGCCCATGAAGTGAATATGCCGGCTGGAATAAAAACACCAAAATACGCCGGCAAATCGGATTGGGAGGCTTTTCATGCCCAATTTGAACTATTAGCTCATGCATATGCTTGGTCGGAGGAGCAGAAAGCCCTTCAACTCGCTCTTTGCTTGACAGATGATGCACTTTCGTGTCTGTTGTTGCTTGATACTAGTGAGAGGGCTGATTATGGCGCATTGGTCGGTGCATTGAGACGCCGCTTTGGACAGTGTTTCCGGTCTGAGCTTCTCCGGTCTGAATTACACACCCGTCAAAGAATTCCGGGAGAGCCACTGCGGGTTCTGGCCAACGATATTGAATCCCTAGCAAGGCGAGCATATGCACATATTCCTCCATCAGTGCAGAGCGAGCTGGCCCGTGATCAGTTCATCAGAGCTCTTTCCCCAGCGGAGCTGCGCATACATACACAGCTTGCACGCCCACGTGATTTGGCCGAAGCCTTGGAGTTGGCACTGGAGAGGGAAATGGCGGTTGAGGCAGCAATGCGGGGGTCAGCAACGGATCCCTCCCCCACCATCAGGGCAGCAGGAGGGGGTGACATGGCTTCACCAAAACCTGAGTGGCTGGAGGAGATTACGGAGATGATTCGTGGACTGGCGTTGCCTCCGCCCAGGAGGCAGACACAGCAGACACAGGCCCGCCTTTGCTGGGGGTGTGGTCAGCCGGGACATCTGGTTAAGGAATGCCCTATGCTGGCTAGGAATTCGGGAAACAGGAGGGGGGCGCAGTAGGCGGGACGCTGCAGACCCCCAAGCCCATGTCCCGCTCGTCATTGGAACACGCAGACAGGCCCAGCATGAACAACGGGACTAAGGAACATGGGGTGGTGGTGGTGGGAAGGACAGCCATATCAGATTTTTGCCATATTCCCATTTGCATTGAGGGAGTGGAATGCACGGCCCTAGTAGACACAGGGTCTACAGTTACTGTGGTTCGTCCAGAGGTTGTGCCGGAGGGAACACGGTTAGAAGACACAGCAGTTCAACTCCGCACAGTGACCGGTGAGCTGGCACCGATGATAGGGAGGGGGCTGTTGACACTCACCGTGGGGGGCGTGAATATGCAGCATCTGGTGTGGATAGCTAATGTACAGGACAGCTGTATCTTGGGTTTGGACTTTTTGAGGGACCATGGCTGTCAGTTAGATCTGTCCAAGGCCACATTGAGTTTCGGCAATGGTCAGGTAGTGAGGATGAGGCCACCAGGAGCTCGTCAAACAGATGGGCTGACTATAGGTTCCTGGGCATGTAACCTTAATGATGGAGATGGTTCACACTGCGCAGTGCCACCCAGTGCGTCCCAGCAAGAGCCCCTGTTACTGCACAATTGGCCTGAGTCTGTTTCAAGGGGAGAGGGAGAAATAAGGCAGGCTCTGCAGGAGATAGCACAAAGGAGCTCCAATGACCTGGATACGCAGCAACAAGGACAGTTGTGGCAGCTGTTAGTGGAATTCCAGGACTGTTTTTCCTGTGATGACGAGGACCTGGGTCAGACTTCCCTGGTGCAACACGACATCAACACCGGGGATGCAACGCCCATACGTCAGCGGCCCAGACGTATGCCCTTAGGTCGGCAGGAGGCGGCAGAGCAGGCGTTGGTAAAGATGCAGCGTGCGGGTACAATAGAGCCTTCTGAAAGCCCCTGGGCATCCCCGGTGGTCATGGTCCCAAAGAAAGGGGGGGAGTGGCGCTTTTGTGTCGATTACCGGAGGCTCAATGCAGTGACACGGAAAGACTCGTACCCTCTCCCTCGCGTGGATGATTGCTTGGATCTGGTGGCTGGCTCTTGCTGGTTTTCATCATTGGACTTGAGGAGTGGGTACTGGCAAGTGCCTCTAAAGCCAGAAGCTCGACCCAAGACGGCTTTTTGCATGGGAAGAGGTCTGTGGCAATTTAAAGTCCTTTGTTTTGGTCTTTGCAATGCCCCTGCCACATTTGAGCGCCTAATGGAGAGGGTACTGGAAGGCATTCCGCGGCAGCAGTGTCTGGTGTTTTTGGACGACATACTGGCACATGGGAGCTCATTCCATTCAGCTATCACAGCCCTGAGGGTGGTGCTGGAGAAAATCAGAGCAGCGGGTCTGAAATTACATCCCAATAAATGCCAGCTGTTAAGCAGAGAGGTGACCTTCTTGGGGCATCGCATTGACAGTGAGGGGATTGGCACAGCGGAAGACAAGGTCAGAACCGTACAGGAGTGGCCTATCCCGGTGAGTCAGAAGGAGTTAAAAAGCTTCTTGGGTCTGGCATCCTATTACAGGAAGTTTGTACGGGGTTTTTCTTGTATTGCTGCCCCCTTATACAAGCTTCTGAAGAAGGATCAGTGCTTTGTCTGGTCAGAGTGCTGTCAAAAGGCTTTTGATACTCTGAAGCAAGCCCTGGTGTGCGCGCCCATTCTGGCACCTCCCGATCCCCAACTGCCCTTCGTTCTTGATACAGATGCAAGTGGGGATGGAATAGGGGCTGTTTTGTCCCAAAGGTGGCAAGACGGAGAGAAAGTGGTAGCATATTTCAGCAAGGTGCTAAACAAAGCTGAAAAGAGGTATTGTGTCACACGACGAGAGCTGTTGGCCACAATCTCTGCCATCAGGCACTTTAAGTACTACTTGTGCGGTCGGCACTTCACCATACGCTCTGACCATGCCTCCTTGCAGTGGTTGATGACTTTCAAGGAACCAGAGGGCCAGGTGGCTCGTTGGCTCGAGGAATTGCAGAGTTATGAGTTCACCATTACGCATCGTGCAGGGGAACGGCATGGTAATGCAGACGCCCTGTCGAGACGTCCATGTAGTATGCAGGAATGCAGGTATTGTGAGCGCAGAGAAGCCAGAGAGTGGGAGCTTAGCCAGAAAGTGGATGGTAGCAATGGGCCTGAGCCGGTCTGTCGGGAGCTACAGGAGGTGGATGTCACTCAATGGGCAGAGAATCAGAGGGGGGACCCAGACCTATTGCCAGTGATCCTCTGGGTAGAGGCACAGCAACGACCACCATGGGAGGAGGTAGCAGCCCTCTCCTCATTCACCAAGGGATTGTGGGCCAAGTTCAAGTGTCTACGGTTGACAGAGGGGGTCCTCCAGCGAGCATGGGTGGTGCCAGCGACAGGAGAAAAAAAATGGCAAGTCGTGGTGCCTGGGGACATGCAAGAGGCAGTGTTGAAGGCTATGCATGGCTTTGCCGGGTCTGGCCATTTTGGGGTGACGAAAACACTTCGGCGTCTGCGTCAGGCCTTCTACTGGGGACGCCTGAGGCGTGATGTAGAGGACTTCTGCAGGCGTTGCGATCTTTGTACAGCACGCAAAGGGCCGCAGGGGAAGTCTAGGGCCCAACTGCAGCAGTTTCTGGTGGGGGAGCCGATGCAGCGGGTGGGGGTGGATGTCATGGGGCCATTTCCTTGCACCACACAGGGAAATCGCTTTGTCTTGACTGCTATGGATTACTTTACGAAATGGCCTGAGGCCTTCGCACTGCCTAACCAGGAGGCTGAGACTGTTGCCAATGTCTTGGTGGAGGGCATGTTTAGTAGGTTTGGGGTCCCCCAGTGTATCCATAGTGATCAAGGCAGAAACTTTGAGTCCAAGGTATTCTCTTCCATGTGTGATCGTTTGGGAATTAACAAGACCCGCACCACCCCACTCCACCCCCAAAGCGACGGGCTCGTGGAGCGATTCAACAGGACACTAGCTGAACAGTTGTCCATTTTAACATCAACTCATCAGCACGATTGGGACACCCATCTGCCACTGGTCTTAATGGCATGTCGCTCTGCTATTCAGGACTCTACTTCATGCACACCAGCCCTGCTCATGTTGGGTAGGGAGATTAGAACCCCTGCAGAGTTGGCCTTTGGGCGGCCTCCTGATGCCCCTCCTGTTCCAGCTGGACCTGAATATGCTAGACAGCTCCAGGACCGCTTGGACTCTGCCCATGCATATGCCAGGAGGCAGCTGGTGACCGCAGGGGTGCGGCAAAAAAGAGCGTATGATCTGCATGCTCGGGGCTGCAACTTTGGGGTCGGAGAGCTAGTTTGGGTTTACAGCCCAGTTAGGAAGAGAGGAAGGTGCCCTAAGCTGGATAGCCACTGGGTGGGACCATGCCCGATATTGGACAAGCTGGGGGAGGTGGTGTATCGAGTGCAGTTGCCTCCTCGGGGGCGCAAAGTGGTACTGCATCGTGATAGGCTGGCCCCTTACCGGGGCACCGCGACGCCAGAGGGTGTCACAGTACTTCCTTCACAAAACAGTGAGACACAAAGGGGGTCAGAGGGGTTAATTGGACCAGCTGATATGGCCAGTAGTGGTCAGCAGGTGACACTGATGCCCGACATCCCTCAGGGTGATCATTCGCAGGGCTCAGAGGAAGCGGCACCTGGAGTCAAAAATCACATGCTCCTCAGGGGGCGTCCTAGGAGGGAGAGGAGAACCCCAGTCAGATTTAGAGACTTTGTCCTCGGGGTCGAGGACTTCAGTTAGAGGGGGGTAGTGTAACGTGTTCAAAATGCTGTTCTGTTACAAATAAGGATGCATTTAATGTTAATGTTTTACTTTATTCGTTTTATGTGATTCGATTGATTCGTTGTCAAGTTGTATATGGAAAGAGGCTCCACCCCTTGTGAGAGTGATGGGGAAATCTGGGGAGGAGGGGGGAGAAGAGCGCCTCGCTGGTTCAAGTGCGGTTCTCTTATAAATCGGGTGTGTATGGCGTGGGCTGTGGCCGACAACAGCCTCTAATAAACACCCTTTGTTATCAAAACCGTCTCGTCCTTGCCTGAGAACGTTACAACGACCAGAGCTGATCATGTTGGAGGAACAAAACTGACAGTTACAGCTGACTAAGCCACAGTCTCTTTGTGTTTATACTGCATGAATAAAATCTGAGGACGTTCTTGTTTTCATTGGAAAAGCCAGGCTGTCATTTGTCAATCTCTCCATGCGGATGAGAGGTGAATCAGTCCAAGTTGTGATGTGACACGTGTACGCTGTCAGACGAGAAATAGACAGCATCTCTCACTCTGTCACAGCTTGTGTGCTGTCTTATCTGCAGATCTCACAGCTCCTATCACAAACTATAATCTCCTTTATTAAGACCGACAAATTAAGTGTTGGTATGTGAAAATCTCACTTTTTTCTTATAAATGTCACATGTACTTTCACACATAATACACCTGCTTGACGAGCTGAAAGTGCCGTTAGAGTGCTATCTGACAGCAAAAGAAATACGGCAGAGCCTTAGGTGGAGAGCTCTTCGATTTGATCCATTTGCTGAAAATTAAAATCAGATAAAAAGCCCAGTAATGGTGGGATTGAATACGTGGTGTCTGAAAACTAGTGCTGCTTAATAGATCAGCATCCCCGAAATCAAAAACACAGCACTTAACCATGGCCAAATTACCAATTGTCTACCTTGCTATTAGACCACACTCACAAATACATTTCAAAAGGGGCCCACCTATGTGTGCAGTTCATTAAAACTAAATTGAATGACAAATTCATTGCAATTAGAAGAGGGCAAATACGTGTGGTTTCAAAAAAAGAGCAAAGTAGACTGTTTGGAAGAAAAGATTTGTTGAAGTAGCGTAACAAGCACTAACTTTTATTTTATAAAAAGTAGAGCACTGGGGCAGCGTCTTATGCAATATTGGGTAAGGCCCGAGGCTCCCCTTGATTATTCTTATTTTATGTCTAATTAATAAATCTCTCAATTCAAATGGAAAATTAGGAATGCGCTCGGAATAAGAGTGGAATAAAAAACAGAATAAGAATAATTTCTCTACCTAAGCATGGCTGCATTTTAGATTGAAAAACGGTTTGCAAATGATGGTGAGAAGCAAGTGCAAGTGACAGTGGAAGTCCCACTTACAGATCGGAAGTAAATGGCTTCTGACACTTCATTATAACATAATGAATGCGGAAATGTGGAGGTGGCTGCTTTGCTATTAATTGATCCAGATTAGAAGTCTTCTCATCACGTTTCATATCGAAGTCATTTCTTTGCCTGTGCATCAGATATTGCCATATGGCAGAGGGTGGACAGCTGCCTCTTAGATTTTAGAAATTGTACATTGCCTACTCATTTTGTCATGTCACTAAGTTTGTATGAGAAACTAGGAAAGAATTTTTAGTTGTTTCACAATGTTATCAGAAGCATTTCTGTCTATGTTTTTACCAGGTGATGTCTCCATTGTCCGACTTGGTTCTGGCTGAGAGGATGATCCGGGTTCTGGATGATAAAGTCAGTATAACAGAGCTGGGTGTGCAGCTGGTCTCTGGCCTTTCCCTGAACCTCCAGCTCAGCCCAGGAAGCAACAGGGCCATCGTTGCCACAGCTACCACACAGGAGACCATGCACAATGCTAATCAGGTAGTGTAGTTGGACTATTTAATTACATTTTAATAATAATGCAGTTTTCAGGTTTTTAGGTCACAATATTGCATACTTCCATGTCCATTTCTCAGAAATGTAGGGTTGTTTTATCCATGAGCAGGTGCAATCACTATAAATACTGTCATTATGGACAAAGTTGTTTGACACGGGCCGCATGTTGATGAGGAGCTGCGGTTTGTTAGTGGATCATGCTGTTCGAGGCTGCTCACTTATTCTGAGTCATCTCACGTTAAAAAAACATTTCTGATTAGGCTAATTTCACTAATCCTCTGCGTCGGCAGGGGTTTCCTCACTCTTCCACATTGATAGACATAAAACGGGCAAATTGGTTGAATCTCCCGCTGATCAGTGCATCTGTTCACTTTAAAATGTGATTTTGGGGACTTTTAAAGCATTTGAACAATCTTGCACTGGAGTTAAAAATCATGCATACTTGATTCAAGAAAATTGGCATTACCGAGAGCATTTGTTCATGTTGTATTTCTCTCTCAGGAGTCCCTTGTCAGCGCGTGGCTTCAGTTCAGCGATGGCTCAATGACCCCCCTTGACCTCTATAACCCTGCACATTTCGTCCTAACAGCCACCTCGCTAGACGACACGGTGGTATTGGTGAGAAAAAGCACCACCTGGAGGTGGCCTGTGGTGGTTGCTAAGGGTGAAGGGCAAGGCATGTTGGTCCGCCTAGAGATGTATGGACCCGAATCATGCCTAAAAACCAAGCGCCGCACACTTCTGGCCGCAGGCAACGCGAACGTCCATGTGAAGTTCGGCCGTGCCGATGAAACGGGAAACAGTGCGAGTGACAGGAGATACAGGCCCAATGCCCCATACTACGGAGGTTCAATCTCAGACATGGAGGCTGGAATCATGAACCGAGGCGCTACCACCATCAAAACCTCCATTCCAGGAAAAGCAAGCGGTGACAGGCTCTCAGCTGGTGATATTCCAGTCGATTTCTCAGAATTCCCCGCTCAAGCAGATCTTCCACCTGGACATAACACGGAGGAAGACTTGCTGCAGACTCGCCGCGGGCTCACAGATTTGGAAATAGGCATGTACGCCCTGCTAGGTGTCTTCTGCCTGGCTATCTTGGTATTCCTAATCAATTGCGTCTCCTATGCCCTGAAGTATCGCAACAAGCAGCTCCCATTGGAGGGCCAGGAGACCATGACTCACGCCCACGACTGGGTTTGGTTGGGCCATGATGCAGAGCTTTTGGAAAGCCAAGCGGGTTTGTGTCTTGATCAAGAGGAGCTGGGTGGGACCATGGACTCTGGGCTGGGCCTGGAGGAAGGTAGCCAGCTCCTCAATGGCCTTTCCTCTCAGAAGAGCGTGCAAGGCCAGGTCCACAGGTCGGCCTCTGACTCAGTGTGCACTGGAAGAGATCACAAGAGCGAGTCTATAAACTCGCCCACAACCAAACGGAAACGAGTCAAGTTCACCACTTTCAGCCATAGCAAGCCCAGCAATGGCTGCCCATCCATAAGTCCACTTCTCATTGGTCAGAATGACATCAAATGGGTTTGCCCAGACATCGAGCTCGGGGACTCCAAAGAGCTCAGAAATTATATGGAAAGGTTAAACGAAAATGCTACTAAGAATATCGCATAGTTGGCTTGAAGTTATTTATGTATTTTTCAGACAAAGCGTAGCACACCCATATGCCTTCTGGTTAAGGTGGTGGTCGGGTGGGGGGTTGGCCTGACTCTACTGCACTCAGACAAACTCATATCTCACCATGAAAAGGCAAGCCATTCATCTGGTCTTGTTTCCATGGCAACTGTCATGAGGGTTCATCATCAGGAAAGAAGGAAAACAGAGATGGTTGTGAAACCACTGAGAATGTGAGAACATTGGATTATGAGGAATGTTTCAATTGAGATGTCTATATTTTCTTTTTTCCGAAGAAGAGGATATTCCATTCTATTTTGAAATATATATATATATATTTGTTTTTTGTTTGTTTTTTTGTTTTTGTTTTCTTTGTTTATCACACTAAAGCCTGGTTGGTTGTGGTACCTTTCTGTGAGTGATTATAAAAAAATATATAAAAAAACACACACACAAAGAGCTGGCATTTAAACTTAATGAAAAGCATTTCCATGAGTTGAACGTTGACTGTCTGGGTCTGACGATGAGTGAGAATACATTTTGTAGCGATTTACATATTTTTATACATCTCTATTCCTGTCCGTGTTAGTATCGTCTACTGTATTTCTCAAAAGACTGACTCCCATTTGTAAAAGCATGTGAATTCAAAGTATGGACGAAAAAATGTCTATTTTGGAACTTTTTCCACCAACAGTTTGAATAAACATGTATATACAGAGGAAGACTTGTGGGAAAACAGGCAGATCAATGGCCCTTCATGTCTCTTTGAGAGCTGTTGAGCAAATTGTATTGTTGTAGGTAGTGTTATCAATATTGTATAATATGTTGTTTACAGTATTAGAATGATAGATGGTATGCACTCCAATTGCTTATATATGTGTGCTATAGCTATAGCATTTTGTTTTCTTTTTTTGTTGTTTGTTTGTTTGTTTGCTTTTCGTTCCATTCTACTTAGTTTTTCCACTTACAGTGATTGCCGTATAGAAAAAGAAATATCTAACCTACCTAAATGAATGATCCACTGATTAGCCTAATAATTATCATAAAGTTAACTGGATCTGATGAGTTTGTGGGTGCAATCCTGACGTAATGTGATCGATGCAGCGGAGAGACATGCATACTTTGGTAAGAAAATCACAGAATATGTGAATAAATTGATTAGTCAAACACTCAATCTATAATTGTGAACCATTTCTAACCATATAAAGGACGTAATCAATACTCAATTACCCTTAACACAATTGATTTCATAAACCATTCTCTACGATAGTGTGTGCTGACTAATTCCTCATCCAGGTGTGTTGGCATGACATCCGATGATCTCAAAAAAATCTGTCCATCTGGATCATGCAAATGTCTCATTTAAGACTGTGTTAATTAGAATAAAGTCTAATTAATTCTATACATTTTATTAATTAATTCTCTCTGCTGTTCTCTGCTTGCCTTTAATTTTATGAAATGCAAACATATTCTTGAAGACCACAGAGGAATAATCATACATAAGGAGGTTCCTCCAGTGTTCAAGACGGTCTAGTGTTGACTTGGAATACACAAGATGCCAGTCAGTGATCCTTTTCCAATCGGTACTCTTGAAAAATGTCTCCCTTGTATGTGATCAGTCTCTGTTTGTTATGTAGCATTTGAGTTTCTTTTTAGATGCAATTGTCTGAGAATTGTAGTCTGTTTTATGAGCTGTAAAGCACTGCCTATGACCATAAATGACATGAAAACCATATTTTAATTTATGCATTACACCACTATTTTCTATTTGCATATTAAATAAAACATCACATCCTGCTTTTCCACTTTCTACCAGTTGATGGCACTGATTTCTAACCCCAGCTGCCTCAAAGGGGTCATGCAGGTTTTGATGGTCATTCTCCTTGACAGGCGTATGACCCAAGTCTCCAAATAAAGGTTACGTGTTTAAAACTGCTGAACTATACTCTAAGTGTGCAAATACAATGTTTCGACTCAACCTTGCTGCATATAATAAATGTTCTGAGAGCAGACTATAATTTTTACCCCATTGCACCGCACTAAACCACAGGCTTGAACAAGAAGTGTTGATGCAGCGTCTGAGTACCATGTATTAATTCAAAGGTTATTGCAGACACAATAGCTCTGGATGTGAGATGTACTCCATTTCTTCAGTCCTGCACATTAAAGGCTCATTAGTGCTAAACTATACAGGCAGGATCCCAATGCTGGATGGTGCTGCTCCCTCCCCTCTGAGACAGGCCAGTCTAATTAATGATCAGTGCGGCGAGGCTTTACTCCATGTTAATGTGACATTACCATACAACCCTTCAAGCTAAATGATTGTACTCATTTAACTGACAGTGATATGACAATTAACACCTTCTTCGTAACACGGGACAAAGAAGCGTGGCTCCACCCCATCCATCTCCACGAACGTTTGACCTGCCACTTGAGTACATTTTTGACACGTGTAGCCTATTTTCAGAGAAGCTTTCACAGCCTATTGATATTCGCCGACCGGTCCTGTTCATTTATCTTTCATTATTATAACTAGAACGTAAACAAATTAATGGACGACAATGTCAACACAGCAAAGAGCCATGGATTATTTTCCTTTTTTCAAAGGCATGACATTCAGCGCACAACTTTATCCAAGGTGGCGACTGAAACAATACAAGCTCATTAGTGGAAATCATACATGCGTACGTGCACGCGCTTAATATCGTTCCCGGCGGGACAAGCCTTTTTGAGATCCAAATTGAGAGGCTGCACACTTAACCCCCAGAGGGATGCTTCTGGAATTGGGTCTGTTTTCTCCTTTTATCTTAGCTGATATTTTGGTATTTGGGTCTCTGTTCTCTGCGTCTCGGAGGAATTACACAAGAACACTCTAAATTAAATCATGACATTAGCTGGTGTCTGTCAGGAGTGTATATTAATACGGGTAATGTCATAAGCTGGTTATTATCTGCATGAAATGTTTCTTTCTTTCCTTTCTTGAGCTCTCCAGATTTTATGAAACAAAGTGTATGAAACTAACGAGACCTCTCAACCTCCTGTTAGCCGAGTTTTCACAAACAACATCTTGCTGTAGTCTTGCCTTCTGCTAGCTAACAAGGTTGGCGTTGCTGTATTTGTCAACAGAGTTGTCAGATAATACCAGCACTTGCAACAGATGAAGACGGTCAAACCTTCCGATGTGCAAACAAATATACGTGCTTTATAAAAATGAACACAATAACGTAAAACACCCGATATAATCGGCCTACTTCATTTTCCGCTAACCGGTTTACTCATGTCTATAACTTTACAATAAATCTTTCGAGACTATCTCGTAAATGTCTGTCAGTGCTGATTTATGATCTATCGGTCATGTTGGGCTACTACTGGCCATTTTCGCACAGATAAGAGTCCATGACTTGAAGATCGGCTTTTGCACAGCAGCGCATGCTCCATATATTCTGGATGTTTTGCCGTGTCTAATGTGTATAACCACAAACTCTCTGGCCTGCTTTTATCTGCTGTTCAAAGAGGAGCTTCTCACTTTTCGACTTGTAACTGTGCGAAAGACCATAGTAAAGGAGTTGATAGAGCAAAGCATACAGGAGACGAGAGAGTTCACACCAAATGTTGCTCCAATCCATTAGCTGAATACTACAAGCCATATTTGTCAGCAATATATTACCAAGATGATAGAACATTGTTTTTTTATCATAGGTATTTTTGTTGTTGTTGTTGCTTTGGTTAGGTTGTACAGTGCAATTCTGTCATATGGATGTCTCTTGTTTAGGCAAAGACAATTGAAAATGAGCGAATGCTGAAAAAGGATTATGTGATAATCAGAGCTGTACAGTAGTAGAATTTCAGTCATTAAGTTGCATTATCTGCTAAGACACCAACATGCAGTGGCCCAGGGAAGTATCTACGTCGCAGTTAAAGATGTATTCATTTTATTGCATAAGTGCATTAAAGGTATTGTAGGTAGAATTTTTTTTAAAAACTTTTTGCCAAATTTTTTTAAACTTTCTATATATATCAATGCATAATTAAAATGTAAGTACTCTGGAAAAGAGAGTATAAAAATCGAGTGTCTGTAGTCCTCTCAGGGCTGTAATAAACACAGCTACTTATCTCCATTCACTTCCACCCCCTCCATTCTGGGCTCCTTCCAAAACCACGCCCCCAAAACACATGAACGTGCGATGCCGACAGCTCACAGCTGGAGGACGCGCTTACTAGCGCCGAGCGGAGAGGAGCAGTGCATGTAGTGACATCATGTCAGACTCACATGTAATAAAATACCTAACTTTATCATTATGAATATAAACAACTAACATGGCTGTTAATACTCACTATCAAGCTAGCATATCGATACTGTTAAAGTTTAAAATATATTGAGTTTGATTCGTTAACGAGCTAGTAACATAAAGCAAAGCTAAAAACAGGTTGCATTGATACACGTTTTCCCATTACAATCAGTTACACTGTGATGAAGGTGAATTTTGTGTAAGATTCATAACATATACGCCGTGTTTTGCATGTTATTGTGTCTCTTACTTACTAGTCTCTTACCCTCCTCGAGTCAAACGAGTGCGCGCATGTGGGCAGCGCATGTAGCAGCGGGGGTGTTGCCATGGTTGCGAGAGAGTGACAGTCGCCTAAGCCAATCCTTTGTTTCGTCCCGGAAGGAAATAATGAGCTGTGTTTAGTGCAGATTAAACGGTCTAGAGTCACTCGATTTTTATACTCTTTTTATCAGAGTACTTACATTTTAATTATGCATTGATATATATAGAAAGTTTAAACAAATTTGGGAAAAAGTTTTTTAGACCAAAAACGACCTACCCAACCTTTAAGAGAAGTTCAAATACCTCCTCTTCATTTAGAACTGTAAAACTGTAAAAACCAACCAATGACTTCTTATGAAATGTATCTTTCTTTAAAATCAGTGTTCATTTGTTTTGATTTTTGTTTTATTTAGTTCTTGTCCTCGTATTTGATTAGCCGAACACCATCCCAGGTTACATCTTTAAACCAGCAGGTGGCGACAGGTGACTGTTTGGATCACCTGTTCAAACCACTGATTCATTTAGGAATGAAATAAGTCTTTAAGAATGATGAACCAAATATGTCTTAATGAGTAAATCATTGAGTCAATTGATTCATTCAATAACCCCTGATTCATTCAGGAACAAAAAAAAAAGTCTGAGTGAGCCATTTGAATTATTCACTCAACCGATTCATTCAGCAACACTGATTCATTCAGGAACAAAACACCGCTACTATGTTGTTCTGAGACATGTGGTTTGTTGATTCTGCTCTAAGTTTGAGAAAGTGTTGGTGGAGCAAA